CACACATTAATTCACTCTAATCCTGTCTAAAAGAATTTCAAGTGTCGCGGCTAATGAGGATTCCTTTTTGTTATATTCCGTATAAACTATATATAAACTTTCTGGATCATATATTTGAGTTATCCATTTCTTTAATAGTGATCTTAATATCTATATTCATTATTACTAGTCTTATTTCAGTTCTTGTTTCTTTGTTTCTTTTTAATTATGCACAAAGCTACACAAGGGCTATCTGTGCTCTGCCCACCACGGGTATCGAAACCCGGATTCTAGCGTGGTAAGTCCGCAGACATACCGCTGTGCCACTGGGGGGTTATATTTCAGTTCGAAAACTATTATATGATTTTGGTGCTTGATACAAATAACTTTTCTAAATATTTCCTTATTTACTTTAGGAAATTTTAAATTTCCATGTTCTTCAGCTCTTGTTTGAATATCTTTACTGAATCTATTTAATATTTTGTAAATATATAATATATGCAACAATAGTATATTTCAATCACGCAAATTTAATTTAATATGATCATACTATGATAATTATTATATACATTTGATACTTTTTATAACTGTATTAAATGTTTTTTAATTTGTTAGATATGTATCTCCCCAACAGGTGTTTTAAAACTGAATCGAACCAAATAAAATAATTTTCTTTCCATTCTCAAAATGAATAATTTTCTAAATAGTAAAATCTTACTAATGATGACCTAGTTTTTTTCTATAAATTTAATGTTTTCTTTTCTAATTAATCTATAATTTACTATTACTTCAAGATACTTAACACTTTCTAATTTTTATAGGATTAAATTAGTTTTAATATTATTATTTCTCCTGTAAACGTAAAAGACCTAGAAGTTCAAAATACTTAGCAAGCTCTCGTTGTGATGGTTTATAACTTTCCGCTAAATTGAGTCGGAGACGTGGGGGGAAAAGCAGCCAAAAAAAGTGGCATGTACCAATAATGAAAGAAACGGTAGAAGAAAACGACCATGGCCAAATTACAATGAAAATATTGTGAATATCTAAAATGAAGTCGTAGATGTTGAAAATGACAATATGAATTTTGGTGATATTACGTTTTGGCATTAACTGAAGATAACAAAGAAAGTGAATACGTTCTGAAATGATGCAAATATGTATATGATACTAAAGATGATTCGGAATAGATGAATTTTTTACGAGAAATTTACCAAGTGAAAGTAAATCCTTTAATTATACTGACAAAGCAAGTCGTATAATTATCTTCAGCATTTCAATAATAAAGAAAATATGTTTTATTCTCTTACTCAATGATGCAGACCAATTATTGCTTAAAATAGGAAAATAAATTTGATAGCAGAATAACGAAAGAAAACATATCCAGTAACACGTTAAAGAAAAACATCATTGAAGTACAATCAAACCTTTCGCTGTATTCTATCCAGTGAAGGATGTTATTAGCTACATTATGTGCTTCACGACAGAATGACAAAGTTTTCCATCTGTGTAAAATCGATATCAAAACCCAGTAGATTAATTGATTAGCTTGATAAAGCATCTTGTAAACACATTCCGAACGAGGCTGTTTGCAATTGCAGTGCTAGTTATCTAACATTCGTAATATCTAGGTAATATTCGTTATTATATCGATCTTTATGTAACCATATCTTCATCTATACTTAATATTTTGTTCTAAAAAAGCTGCGAAATCCTTAGCATTAGTGCAATCGTTTAGTATCATTTCCGCAGTCAAATTCAAAGATCGATTTTTGATGATCCTACCCCTAGTAAAAAATGTTACCCAATTTGCCCGTACGACATGTGTTAAAATGTCTAGGAAAACTCTTTTTTACATTAACATATTAACTAAAAACGTTATTAACGTTGTCAGTTTTCCTTTACTTGTTCTTTAGTTGGTATTAGATTTACAGGTATGTTAGTTCGTTTGTTTCGTAGTTTAAGCACAGAGCAACGCAATGGGTTATCCGTTTCTCTACATCACAAACTATCAGGACTCTCCAGTTAGTCTAATGCATCATTAACAATAGTTAGGTTAGGTTTAAAGTTAAGCACAAAACTACACAATGGGCTATCTGTACTCTGCTCACCACGAGTATCGAAACCCGGTTTCTAGCGTTGTAAGTACGCAGCCATACCGCTGTGCCACTGGGGGGGGGGGGGCTTTCGAGCATGTAACTGTTACCATGTGTCATGCCAATCTTGTTTCCTATTCATCGAACATTACATACAGTTATTTTTATCATACTTCCTTTACAAACATTTTGTTTTCGTGTTCACCCTGCTTTCTTCTTTTAATCATTATCGTATCTTTAACGCCCAGTCTGTATTCTATTTATAAACACAATCCCATTTTAGATTCCCTTATTTCCCTTTTTTTCAGTTATGCTAGTTTTGTATAATTGATCTGTGTTAAAAAGAGTTACAGGAATTTTTGCTTATAAGTTCGTTTGTAATGTTTATACAAAATTCATTAGATGAACTTACATATAATTTGGGTTATTCAGTAAACTAAATATATTTATTACCTCCGCCACCGAAGGTACACGCAGGTTATGTTTTAACCCCTGCGTGTGTTTGTTTATGTGTTTGTCATCAAGATTTCTCGAAAACGGCTTTGGATTTGGACGAAAGTTGGCATACATTTGGATTATGACCCAACTTTTCATTTTCTGATTTTCTTACTAGAATTTTCCCTTCTTTAATCCAATTAAACTTGTAGTGTAGTTTCTGTTTCTAGCAGTATTTTTAGTAATTGAAAAAGTTTATTTGCAAATACTAGACCTTCTTTAATATCAATCTTTTTTTTTTACTTTCTTCACTCCTTGTTAAAAGTAAAACCATTTCTTTTCTAAGTTGTATGTTCACAAATTGTACAATAATTAGCCAAGTTTTTTTATATTTCCTATTTTTACCCTAAGAGTAGTTTGATTATCTTCATCTTTTATATCAACAGCATTTGCAACTTCCTAAATAATTTCTCTTAATCATAGAAGTTATATTCTCTCCCTGTATTTGTGGTACTCCTTGAATTTCTATTTTCATGAATACTGTTGGAGATCAATCATTTGTTTTTGTTAAATATTGATTCCCTTTTGCATGTTCTGATTTTGTCTTTCTTTTAATTCCCTTAACTTTGATAATTATTTCTGACATCATTTTTAAACATTCGTCAATTTTATTAGAATAAAACTTAAAAGTCTACTGATGATTTAAATTAAGATCATTTATTTCAATTTTGCATTCGGATTTTTTTTGTCTAACTTCAAATACATTCTGTTAATCTGTTTTCAATATTTCCCTTTTTATTTTACCGAAGTATTCAAACATTTTACTTTATTCATATTATCAAGTTGTCCTAAATTTCTATCTGTTTAACGTTCACATTGACTTGTTTCAGCACACTCGTTTTATTACACAATAATGAAACTGCCACTGACTCTTAGAGCTGTTCTGTTGAGTTAAAAATATGCGATCCTGATTTCTACAAGTTGAACACTTATAATTCTTTTAATAATTATAATTTCTTTTCTTTACTTAACTTTTTATAATTTATTACTTTTATACAAGAATAACGATAGTATAACTTACAGTCATTAAACATTGCACACAATCGTTTGGATCACTGATTACTTCGTCACACATACTACACGCAAGCGACATCTCACTGATTATATTATATTTAATTGTATTTTTATATTATAAAATAGTGAGCATGGACTACTTCTGAGCAAGCATGCCTCTACAAAAATCAATATATCTGCCACAGTCTGAAGTGTGGTGTTGGTGAGTGAACATACTTTAGTCCATTTATTGAAGTGATCAACAGTGACCAGCATTTAATATTTCCTCTCTTGCTCCCAGAAGAAAACAATTTATGTGTGAAAACTATCCAGTGAAATAGTGAGTCTACGAATCATATATGGCAGTTTGCCTTGATGTGGCTAGTATTTCTTCTCAACAGTGCAAATATTACGGTGCTACCACCATCTCCATATTACTGAGTGAACATGGCCCGAAAAATTACATTCCCAAAATTTGTGTGTCGCTCTACTTGATGCCCTTGAATCATGCAATTTCCAGAGATAAATCTCCGAAGTCTGATTCATAATTTGTTTAAAGCAATAGAAGAAAAGTTATGTTAACCTGTAGTAACTGGATGGGTCATTTAGATGTTCCTACTAGAATTCCGTACTTGTTTGTCATGAAGTCCATTCACAATTGACTCTTTCAATCCCTGTATGTTTTCTGCAACCAGTGTGGCTCTAGCGCCTGCACTGTGCTCGTGGCTAGGACAATTCAACAAACAAGCTGATTCTAATCAACTGTCGCGAAACTCTCATTTGTGACGATTTGCTGATTACCCGGCTAATGTTACATATTATATTGTCATTTTTTGCTGCATGGTTGTCCAGCATCAAAATAATAATTTTTACGTATTTTATATATATGAGCCATCTTAATGGTGCGTGGTCCACTCTAATAGTGAACTCTCATTCAAACAAGTCAACAGTGTTTTCTCTGTGGTAGAGTAGTGGCATTTAAAAGCACTTACTGATTACTTAGCGTATGCCATATACGCAATGCACGCTATCTCAGAGATGACGAGTCAGATCTGTCATTGTTCAGGTTTATCTTATTTCGACTGAGTTAGCCAGCAGAAGCGACAGCACTATGCAGATTGGCCAATGCCGTGTAGTCAGTAGTCAGTCTAATTGGAAAGCTGAAAGGGAGCGGTCAATGAACCTTAAAGTAGTAGCATGGTCTGATAGTACTGTTTTTTACTGACGGGGCGCGAACCACATAACTTCATATCCCCAATCCAGCACACTAATTACTGGCAGCGCTCGTCCCAGATGTAAATCTAGATTTGCCACAGAGTCAATTATGTTATTTAAGAATGATATCAAGCAAAACAAAATGTTTTTGTCTGAAGGATGCTTGAAGTAGTTTAACATATAAAAAACGATTCTACTAGGGATCAACTTTTAAGGCCAACTTACACTTATATTTCTAACTTCCGTCCTGGTTCCTTCTTCTTAGAATGGTATTAATGAGATGGACGATCTTCAGAAAACAACTAACTTTGAATGATTTGTTGTAAAACACACATCAGCTTGTCGTAATTTCAGGCATTTCAATGGTATACCTATAACCACAACAGAAAAGAGTATAAGGTTAATTCAAAACGATAGAATAACTTCCTAAGT